GAAATCTGGAATGCAGCAAAATAAAACACAGCATTTAGCATCATGATTATTTTCTGCAATGGTCAGTTTACAGCCTGATAAGGAGATAGCTTTTTAAACATCCACATGCAAGTTCCTTTATTATTAGTAAAATAATCTCTCATTGGTTCAGAGAAAGCTGTTGGAATGAAACTAAGGAAGTTTCCACCCAATTATATTGGTGAAATGAATTGATTGTAAGTTCAATTGCTGAAATTCTTAGTACTCTGTTCCCATAAATCTTGTTAAAGAAAACACCATGGCAAAGGTGGCATTCAGCCAGTTTGGACTGATTCAGGCGAACTAGTAGTGGCAACCTGCAGGTGGGCCGGGTGGGGTGGGGCCAGGTGGGATGGGCCCACCCCTGCCCATCCTTGCCCAACCATGCCCACCTGCTCAGATGCAATCCCATCCTATATCGCTATGTTTTTGACGTTGAACGCATGCGTGAACAGTGCATGAGCGAATTGCCGTGTTTTGTGATGCCACACGCATGTGCAGATGTGCTCACATTTCTGGTGCTCACATTTCTGGCACGCGCTCACATTTCTGATGCTGGGCGAACCAGTGCCACCTCTGCACCATGGATATTTTACTTGGAAGAATTGTTTTTTTGGATGAATTGACTGTTCAATAGCCTGCCATTCCCAAGAATACCTCTGGGCCCAAAATGAGTTTGAAAAATCATTTCTAAAAAATAAGGCTATCAACAGCATAGAGCTTTGTCTGGAAGTGTTTAGTTTTGTCCCAAAAAAAATGCGGGTAGGTTGGAGTACAGTATCTTGGGGTACTAAAATACAAATTGAATAATAGAAAAAACAAGCCCATCGGTTCATCATTTAAGATCTCAAGCATCATGGCAGCAATTCTATTAAGAGTCAAGCTTCATCATGGCAGCACACATAACATGCTCAAAGAAAAGATTCCCACTGGCCCCCCAAATTACTTTCCTCTGGCCTCACCTATCTAAACTCTCCAATATCAAAGATTTCTTTCTGTCAGAAAATCCTCACAAAATGATATCGCAAAGACTCAGAACTGACTGAATGGACAAGAACCAGCTATCCTCCACCAGCTGTTCCTTCAAGAGGTAGTATTAGGTAGGTTTAAATCTTATCATTGCTTGGATGGGAAAACAGTTGGCCATCTCCCTGATTTCTAGTTTATTAAGAAGTTCTGTTATAGATCAATAACAGGTTAAAGAAGAGAAATCGGAGAGAAAGAGTACATAGCAATGTCTGTGCTGAGTGGGTGTAAACTGTGGAATCCCAGAAGAATCTGTATTGGCACAGTGCTTTTAAACGAGTTCAGAAATTATCTGAAGTTAGGAATGAACAGTGAGATCATCAAATGTGATGCAACCAAATAAAAAGAATTTTAAATTTAATTAAATTTAATTTATTTTAAAGAATGATGGCAAAAGATTCCAAACCCCTCCCTGGGAATTGTAGAAAAGGGGATTAAAGTGACAATGTTGACTGTAATATGATCCACATTGGGGGAAAAACTCCTGATTTCACCTAGACACTAGCCTTGGTGGCACAGTGGTTAGAATATAGTATTGAAGGCTAATTCTGCTGATTGCCAGGAGTCTGATTCTCATCAGCTCAAGGTTGACTCAGCCTTCCATTCTTCCAAGATCAGTAAAATGAGAACCCAGATTGTTGGGGGCAATATGCTGTACCCTATAAAACCGCTTAGAGAGAGCTTTAAAGCATGGTGAAGCAGTATATAAGTCTAAGTGCTATTGCTATTGCTATTTTCAGTGAGATCAGATGCCCCTGTATTGTCTCCCTAGGCTGGAGAAAATGTATGGGAGGGAGCCAATAGGTTCACAACCTTTTCCTTGGCTTCCCAAAGACAACTGATTGATCCCTGGGAAAGTTGGACTAGGTTGAACAACAGATTGGAACTCTAATGAGTCTGTGAAAGAAAACTGGAATATAGCATGGGAAAACTAACTTGGAAGCAGAAGTTAAAATATCAGTAGTTTGCCAATGAATATCAGCAAATATAAGTGGGGTTAAATGCAGTTTTCTCCTCCCAGTTCTCCCCTAAAGATGCACTAATACTATTTTAACAAACGTGGGTGTGTGAACACACACTTGCCAAGGTGACATGTAGTTTCATCCTGATTTAGATCTCACTTAACAATGACTGTATCAGTCTAAAATAGATGTATAATAATATCAAACACAGCTAGGTCTTAGCAATTTAACAGATCTCAAGAGGAACGATGTCCTTGGGTGACACATAGCTCTTAGGAGGAAGGGAAACACTTTTACAGGAAGGAGATCTATGATCATCTACCTCCAGTTTCCTAAAAACATGGAATCTGGATCTGGAGAGGGTACTGAATGCTCAGGTATTTTATTCAAAGCTTTTCTTGGCTCTGGGAGTTTTGGAGTTAAATTTTATCATCTTTAATGCCATTTTTAAAGGTATTACTGAATTTTGAAGCATTCTTTGAGGCATCTCATTCTGTTCTTTTGTGAAAATTTATGAATAGGACAATAGAGAAATTGAAGGTCGTAACTATCAGCTCTACAAGATGGAGCAGATTAAGAACCCTCTTCCATATAGGTCAAGGCTTCAGTATCTTTACAGTAACAGCTATAGTAACAGAATCATGGTAGTCTGAATATCCTCCTTCCTTCTGACATTTAATCTTCATGTGTGAACAAGAGAGGAGCTTGCCTGAGATGTTTTCTCATGTTACTTTCAAGCCTACTTTATCTGACAGTGCCTTAGTAGCAGCTCTTCCTCCTGTCTTTCTAGGCCATTCCAATTTTCTTCTATAATAATGGGTGAATAATCTTTTCAATACCTTTCAGAGTGGAAATTCTAGGAGTTATGGCCTGAACACAAAACCAGGGAAATTTGATACGCATGGTACAATGGAAATTAAAAGTTGGGGAAGATTAGGTCTCCTTCAAATTTCTGATAGATCAGGCATTGACTCACTCCTATCAATGACCAACAAGATAACCTCTAGGAGAAATCCTATAGTATAACTATAACACTATAACTATAACTATATACATACATATGAACACACTATAATTAAGGAGAAATTTCCTAACAGTGAGAACAATCAACCTGTGGAACAGTTTGCTTTCAGAAGTTGTGGAGGCTTTCAAGAAGAAACTGGACAGCCACTTGTCTGAATTAATATAGACTGTCCTGCTTGTACAGGGAGTTGGACTACATGATCTCCAAGGTCCTTTCCAACTACATGACCTCCAAGGTCCTTTTCAACTCTGTTATTCTATGTTCTATATTCCATTTCTGAACAAATATTTCCTTCTGAAGGAATGATGTAAAGAAGATAGAATCATTACAGCAGTGGTCACCACTTCTAAATTGGAAGAAATGAAAGACAAGAATAGAGCAGTAGTGGGAGGGGAGGGAACAAGGATAAAAATGCCTAGCAACAATTATGAATTTACTCCCGATTTGAGAGAATACCAAGCAATAGCAATGATGGACAGCAATGCTCCAAGGCAGCATCAAATGGAACTTGGGAGAATGTGTACAAGCTATCTTTTTTATCTCCCCTGAATTTAAAAAAAAATCTTCGATCTGGAGTTGTTCCAGGGGAAGACAGAAAAGTAAGTCTTGCCCTATTAATGACTAAGCAGTGTTATAATTTTGAGTTTGCAGTTAAAAGCCATTTTGAGCCATTTGTGAGCCAGTGGCATTCTGTCAACAAACAAGGAGCTCCAATTTCAGGGTAGTGAATTGTCTTCAGAAAACATGGCTCGAAAGAGTGATCTGTGCTCTCATTGGATGAGATTCTTGGCTCATCCCATCATTCAACTCCTGAGACCCCATGATAGCAGCATGCTGACATGATTAGATACAGCAGCCCAAATGCATCAAGTCAGCATTAAGAGCAATTTGTATTTATTTCATTTTTCTGAATAGAGTAATAGATAGCAGATGCAAGAGCCTTGGTGGCGCAGCAGACTAAACTGCTGTTAAAGTAGCACTTAGCTGCCAGCTGCCTGCAATTATTGCGAGTTCAATTCTCACCAGGCTCAAGGTTGACTCAACCTTCCATCCTTCCGAGGTAGGTAAAATGAGGACCCAGTTTGTGGGGGCAATAAGCTGACTTTGTATAAAATAGAACACTGCTTAGGGGGGGCCGAAAACCCTACTAAGCAGGTATATACAAAAGTATGAAGGCTATTGCTTAAAGCATTGTAAGCCGCCCTGAGTCTCCGGAGAAGGGCGGCATATAAATCGAACTAATAAATAAATAAATAAATAAATAAATGGAAAAAAATGGATAATGAAATACTAAATTTAGTATATAAAAACTTTAGTTTGTAATAACATGATGATAGAAAAGCCTAAATTACTTCTTTCTACATCTAAGAGCCAGTAATATGCTCTCCTTCTTAATGGAGAGGGTATGAGTCAAGTTTTTATTTATTTATACATTCAATTTATATAGATACCCATATCATAAAAGTGACTCTGGGTGGCATACAATAAAAAAAAACAAACCATAAAATAAACATTAAAAAAACATTCTGCAATTAAAACATCCATCAGTGTTTACTATTAACAATTAGTAAAGAGGATTTGATGTTATAGGCATTGTAGCCACCTCATACAGCACAAGTTGGAGACAGAAGAGAAAGGAGAACTAAACTGAAGGGAATGATGAAAGTCTCAAGAATATCAGTTGAACCAATGGGAAACATGGTTACACAGAGACATGAACATTAAGTCTTTTTCAAAAAGAAAAGGATGTAGAAGTGCAAAGTTCCTCTGCTAAGTATTACCGTCTATTGACTTAGTAGTCAATAGGTTTATAGAAAGCTGATGGGTGCAAAGTTCAATTTCAACATAGAGTAAGCAAAGAGTTGAGAAAGATTAGACATTCAGTTATTGGTCAACAATTAAGAAAAGACTAACTGACAGTTCTCAGTGCTCAACTGTTGTTCCATTAGTGCAATAGAATGTAGGAGTGGCCTTGAGGAAAGTGGGGAAGAGATGCTGCCTAGGAGATAATCAGACAAGAGAGGTAGGAGACACCAATAGATTAATGGTTAGAGGAAGAAATTTAGGAAAGACCTACCCTAATTGTCAGAATAGGATACTCACCACAGCCAATTTGCCATGGCCCACTTGCCACAGGACAACTCACCATGGTCAATTCGTTGCGGGACAATTCACTGTTGGGTTCACTTTTATTTTTGTTGATCACATTTTCATCAAAATTATTTTATCTCTTGTATCAAAGGAAATCATTCCTGTGATTACCAGCTTTTGTAATGCTTTGATAAATAATAAAAAGAACTAATCCCTTGTTGAATTATCCCATGGCAAGTTGTCCTGTGGCGAGTTGGCCATGACAGATTGGCCGCAGCGAGTTGTCATAGACCCCCTAATTGTTTGGGTGATTAAAAACAATGGTGGGAATTTTGTACCTTCAGACTTGCAAGATTCTGTTAATGTAGCTTTACAGTAAAGTCAAATTAGCTAATCTATTGTGTTTCCTGCCTGGTTACCTGGGAAAGCTGACAGTTGTTGCTTCTTTGCAGGCACCTGGCTTCCAAAATTGTAAATGTGCTCATTCTCAGATGGTTGTGATGCCCACGGAGTTCTGAAAATAGAGAAAACAGCTCAATCTCAAGTTTGAAAGGACTGGGATGGAGAAAGACTGGTGTCTGAAAGAGCAGTAGCTCATTCTGTGAGAGGTCTAAGTCTGGAAAAAGAATTCAAGGAATTCTCAGGTGATGATCAAAGGAATTCATGCACAGGAACAACCCCATCTACTCCCTTCTCTGAGTACTCAAACTATAGTCTTCTAGAGGGCTGAAAACCTAGTTCAAACTTTAATTTATAGTTTATATGAAATATTTATTGACTTACATATATGTGGGTAATAAATTATATATATAATTTATATATATAATACTATAATAATATATATACTAATAATATATATACAATATATATACTAATAATATATATACAATTTAAAACCTGCTAAAAGCAGTCCTAAAGCAGAGAATGAGTAATTAAAAAGAGTTTAAAATAATTTAACACATTTAATCTGTGTTCCAGTAAAGCCTCACTTAAAATAGTTCATGTATTTAAAACTTGAAAACTGCTGCCTACACTGCAAAGCTACAAAAATGCTAGCACAGGCTATCAATAAGAGGGAATGATATGGCATGCACACTGAACTTGAATTTATCTGGATGAACAGTTGGGTTTTAAACTAGCATCACTTCTATTAAGAATGCCCTTTCAGGTTACTGCTTTGCACCCTTCTAGCAAATATTGTACCCTCGAGAATGCATCTCCACTAGCTGTTAGCTGATGTGTAAGGGAGAAATATCCCCATCTTAAACCATTGGGGGCTTTATATGTCATCACAAGTGTTTTAAGGTTAGCCTGACAGCCAACAGGCAGCCAATGCAGTGTGTTCAGAACAATGATAATGCATACACAGTATTTTGCTGCAACATCTTTTATTAGCTATATCTTTCAGAAATAGTCCCACTGATAATGCACTTCAGTTACAACAATGCATGAATCACTGTTGTCAGGTTATCCTTGTTCAGAACGACTATAGCTATATACAATTAGATCCCATTTCAGGGTACAAAGTACAAAGTACAAAGCAGATGATTACCTAATTCCCATAGAAAAGAACTACCTCTTCACAATGTCTCCTTCTTGCTAACGTTCCATCTCAGCTGATTGACCCTCAGATAGTCTATTTTGAGATTGAATAGAATAGAATAGAATAGAATAGAATAGAATAGAATAGAATAGAATAGAATAACAGAGTTGGAAGGGACCTTGGAGGTCTTCTAGTCCAACCCCTGCTCAGGCAGGAAATCCTATACCACTTCAGACAAATGGTTATCCAACATCTTCTTAAAAACTTCCAGTGTTGGAGCATTCACAACTTCTGCAGGCAAGTTGTTCCACTGATTAATTGTTCTAACTGTCAGGAAAGTTCTCCTTAGTTCTAAGTTGCTTCTCTCCTTGATTAGTTTCCACCCATTGCTTCTTGTTCTACCCTCAGGTGCTTTGGAGAATAATTTGACTCACTCTTCTTTGTGGCAACCCCTGAGATATCGGAACACCGCTATCATGTCTCCCCTAGTTCTTCTTTTCATTAAACTAGACATACCCAGTTCCTATTCCCATTTTTAGAGCTACATTATGAATGGTCTTATTTGAGATTTCTAGAAGATTTCTAGAGTTACATTATGAATGGGGTGGCAGGCTGTCATCCATCACTGGTTGCTTCATGCCTGGATTTCCACCATCTCTGTTCCAGCCACTTTACAATGTCAGGGAATTGCGCAGCCCTTGTCCAAATGGAATCAGAAACGCAGACATAAACCAGTTTTATATAAATAAATATATTTACAATAAATAAGATAGACAAAGAGGAGCATCTTTGGTAAATCAACAGAGCAGGAACAACATCATATGACAGATAGCACACCCAGCACACAGAGGAAAAAGGTGGGAAACAAGAAAACTTCCCTTTTCACTCACAGCAACCAATCACAGCTTAGTTTATCTCATGCAGTGGCCAGCTCCCTTTAACCAATTAGCTATAACTGTGTGTTCTTACTCATTTTCCAACCCTTCACTGCTCCAGCTATTACATTTTAAATATTCTAACACGCAGTCTGCATTATCGTTCATACAAGTCCTCTGGAAATCAGAAGGACTGTGCATCAGCGGCCTGCATGATCTTGAATTTCCACGGCACCACAAAGGTTTCAACAGAATTGCCGGCCTGGAAAAGAAAGAGATTATGATGTAACCTTAGAGAGAGAGCAAAAAACAAACACATTTATAACCACCCTGACAAAATTGGAAGTCACTTCTTTATAACCTTTTATTTCTATCTATTTCTATTTTTTTCTTATTTCTTCACTGTTTTTCCTTATTGTTGTTGTTCTAATATTTTTATCTTGTTAAAACTGTCTTCAATAAATATTGTATTTAAAAAGGAAATCTTTTGGATTCCATTTCCAAAGCAGGCCATCTTCACCTCCATTTGCCTGTTTGAAGTCAACCTCCTCTTATTCTACTTCAAAAAATCTACCTCCCTCGTTTCATACCCAGAGTCCTCTTGCTTCATGCCTAAACTTCTCTCCTTCAAGCCTCACAGCAGGTGGCAGTATTAACCTGCCAAAAATCACATGGACTTGAGGCAGCCATCAATTGTTTTTTGTATGCAAAGGCAGGTCCTAAGTCCGGACAGAGGCTATACATACAGTTAAGTAGGGATTGTTAAAGTAAAAAAAAACTGGAATGAAATGAGAACCTTTCAGAAATATTGGAGTGTGCATATTTTACCCACACACACAAACACACTGAAGAGTTATATTTCTTAAGATAAAAATGCAAAATTAGAAGTCAGCATAATTAAACTCCTAAACTGTAGCTTCTGAAATGCACAAGAGGCTCACTTTGTTGCTAAAGCAAAGTAGGGTTACCTGTTTAACTCCCAGCCAAAGAGGAGGTGGTAATACCCACAAGGAGGGTTAAAAAAAAAAGGCCAAGTTGGCAACCATAACTGTTTAGGTATGTAAAAGGGGGTGGGGCCTTGATCATTTGATTGTGGCCACCATCTTGACCATTTTTAAATCTCTCTGCCAGCCTTCCACCAGCATCAATGAAACAAGCAAGAGAAGGACAAGGAAGAACAGCAGAAGCATCTGCTTCCCTGTTTTTGCATATAAGTGTGGTAGAAACATCTATTTATTTCAAGTGCTTTTGAGCTGCTTCACTCATAAGGTCCCTAGCAGCCTGCAGCAATATCTTCACACAATATAGATCTGTGATGGCGAACCTAAGGCATACGTGCCACACGGAGCCATATCGGTGGGCATGCAAGCATTGTCCTAGCTCAGCTCTAGTGCACATGTGCGTGCCAGCTGATTTTCAGGCCTTCTGGGCCCAACAGAAGTAGGGAAATAGGCTGTTTCCGGCCTCCAGAGGACCTCCAGGGGGGGTGGGGAAGGCCCGTTTTTCTCTCCCCCCAGGCTGTTTTCCCTCTCCCCAGGCTCCTAGAAAGCCTCTGGAGCCTGGGGAGGGCGAAAAACAGGCCTACCAGGCCCACCGTGCCATTATGTGCCAAAAGCAGGGGTCGCGCGGAGGGATCACATGCGAATGCATGGGGGAGTGGGTCGCATTGAATAATGGATGTGGGCAGGTGCACACGTGACCCCCCCCACTGCGCACTCCCCCTGCTTTTGGCACACGACAGCAAAAAGGTTAGCCATCACTGATATAGATCATTTAAAACTAAATCAATAGCATCTAAAAATAAAATCAATAAAATATCACAGACAAAAATCCTCTGCATAATCACATTCCATACTTGTATCAATGGCATTAAAATTCATCAACATTGCAAAAACCAGTGGTGGGTTGGCCCCGGTTCGCATTGGTTCTATAGAACTGGTAGTAAAACCAGCGGGAGGCTCCACCAACTGATCCCAACGTCATCAAAACGTTTCTGTGAATGTGCAGAAGCTTCTGTGTGAGCGAAGCGAGCACGCGTGTGCAGCCCCACTGCGAACCGGTAGTAAAGGAAAGTAGAACCCACCCGTGGCAACAACCATCCCAAATCCTCTCTGAAATAAGTAGTTTTTGGGCAACTTGGTAAATGTCAGGGGAGAGGATCCAGATTTTACATCCTGGGGAAGAATGCTCTGCAGAAAGGGAAGCCCCTGAAGAAAAATTCAAGTCTCCTCCCTTCTTAGCAAGGACTTCCAGCAAAAACATTCGGCAGTCCTTGGGCAGCCAAGGGGGTAAGTCCCAAGCCACATAGAACTTGAAAGGCCATAGCTAGCACTTGAATTGCACCTGGAAACCTACTGATTATCTCACTCTACAGGAAATGCTGGTTAGCACATGGGCAATCATTTTCTACAATTTGCAGGAGCTCTTTAAGGGCAGTCCTGTCTATTACATTACAGTAAGCCAAACACAGGTATTCCTCGACTTACAACTTTTTGCGACCTTCTGACAAGCAAATTCATTGGGGAAGTTAGATTCACTTAACAACCGGGTTACTAACTTAACAACTCAGTGATTCACTTAACAACTGTGGCATGAAAGATCTTAAAATGGGGCAGAACTCATTTAACTTGCTTAGCAATAGAAAAAAAAATATAAAAGTAGTTTTAACAATCTGGTGAAATTGATTTCTTAGTTCGGTGTATTTACCGGGGCTAACACAGAACAATAAATCTTAGGAAATTCAGTGGCAACTTAGATACAACATCAAGTTGCTTGAGCAGGAATACTACAAGCAAGCAGCCCTCCAAACTGGTCCCAACAAACCAACCTTACAAGAAGAATCTCACATTCAGCTATGTCTGGGACAATGCCTAAAGGCTTTCTGAGAGTCCCAGATAACAGCCACTCCTCCATCCCTATCTTTGAGTAGTGGCTGCTGCCACACCTGAAACCCCAGAAGCCACATTTCCCAACCAGGTTTCGGTGATGCAAGCCACCAATAATGATGAGCATGAAGCATGTAGGTAGGCGGAGGGATAGCAATGGTCAAAGACCCATAAAATGTGGTTCCCCACCTCCTGTTGTTGGAAGGGGTCAGAAAAGTTTTGGTTCTTTTCTGTTTGAGGACTGCCATCATCAGCCTTAGTTTGGAAAGAGCTGCTAAATGCAAGTAGGGCAGAGCTAAGTGGTACCGAAAGGAATTGATGCTCAAACATCGCTACTTATTCAATCTTTTCATATAAATAATCATAATATGGAGATATTTCTTGGTTTTTAATAACATCCTTTCTTAGGGTATGATAAAAATTGGTGGAACCATCAGGACATCTGGGGCTAATTTAGAAAAAAGTAAATAGTCATGAATATATTTAGTACTTAGCAATCCCAGGACTATAGGCTACCCAGTGAAGTCAACAGATGTGAGAGAGAGGGGAGGCCAAAGTTTTCTGGGCTTATCATGGACATTGGAAGAAGGAGATAAGAAAGAAAAACTTAAGCTTGTGTTTGGACTTAGAAATGTAAGAGATTCAAAACTTAAGAAAATTATACTGTATATACTTGTTAGAAATTTGTGTTTCAAATCCTTGTGGTCTGTTCCTAGAGAGTATCTAGAACTTCCAAGGAGATGATATCAACACTGTAGGTTTTTCTTGATGATCAACAGCTCCTTGTTAAAATTATCACAGTTTATCTTGGCTTGTAGGAACTGCCAAAAAAAATATACAGGTAAGGAACACATGTCCACAAAGGAGAGGGCGGGATCTGGGTGACAGGGGATGAGCTAAAAAGTGAATGCCTATTTATACTAGAGGAAGGCTTGATGGATTGGGATCAGAATCTCAATTAAAGGGAAGCCCATTCTTACTAATATGAGTCAATGGCGTAGTCAGTAAATCAAAATAAGGAACAAATTAACAGTAAACATTGGTAAAGCATCCAAAATGCATATGTCTGATAAATGGAGAGAGCATCCAAGATGATGTGTATCTTACCTGGATCCACCTGAATTCCTTTCAAGGAAATGAAGTAGCCCAGATAGTCTAACATAGGCAGTTCAAATAAGTATTTCTTCAGCTTAGCTACAAAACCTTTTAAAAAAACTGCTTAAACATAAACATTGGAAAGCAGAAACTTCAGAATAAATAAGCAGTTCATCTAAATAAAATATCAAGAGCTTATGCAGAAAATTGTGGAAATATATTCATAAACTTTTTAAATTAAATACTTTCATCATTGATCTTCATAAAGATCAATGATTAAAGTATTCAAATTAAAACCAAAGGCAATTAAATATCTTCCATGTAAATTAGATTTGAGATCCATTCTGGGTTTTTGTAACCATTCCAAGAGTTCGGAAATTAGAAGAGGGTAGTGATTCCTAATGGATAGGGAGCTCTGGAGCGAGAAATCACAGACTACATGTAGGAAACGATCCTTGGCCTTGCACAAAAATAAAAATAAAATAAAAGTAGGAGCATAATAGACAAAGGAAAAAAGGCATATCCAAATTCTTGTCACTAAATTCCAACACATAGGTTAATTCTGCATATGATATTTAGTAATGTGGTTTACAAGATCTTGGATCTTGGGTAAAGGAGTCTTCAAGTTAGCTCTCACGTGACCTTCAATTCACATAGTTTCTTAGATCCATGCTGTTCTTAATCAGAAAGAGAATTATCCCCTGTACAAGCTGTTAAGTTAATTCTAATACAGATAGTCTTTACAACCACAATTGAGCCTAACATTTATGTTGCCAAGTGAGATGTTTGTTGACTGAGTTTTGCCTCATTTTATGATCTTTCTTGCCATAATTTATTTATTTATTTAAAAAAATTATATTGCTGCCTACTTGCATATGGTGACTCAAGGCGGCTTACAAGGATATAAAAGAAAGAAAAATAATAAAATAACCCCCCCATACTCCGGCGACAACACACATTCATACTAGCCATTTAATGGGCTCCATCCCGTTCTGGGTTCCCCAGGCCCACTGGCAGAACCACATCTACAGGGCCTTCCAAAAGAGTGTTAGAGTGGGGGCCAGTCTAATCTCTTAGGGAAAGGTGTTCCAAAGAGAGGAAGCCACCACAGAGACCCTTTGTCTGGGTCCCGCCAGATGTATCTCCTTAGGGGAAGGGACCCGCAACATTCTTTGCCTCCTCTCTCTAGTGCAGGAGTGGACAAATGTGGCTCTTTTACAACCTGTGGACTTCAATTCCCAGAATTCCTGAGCCAGCTTGGACAGCCAAGCTGGCTCAGGAATTTTGGGAGTTGAAGTCCACAGGTTGTAAAAGAGCCACATTTGCCCACCCCTGCTAGTGGATCAGGTAGATGTGACAGCAATTGTTAAGTGAATCACTGCAGTTATTAAGTTAATAACACAGTTAAGTGAATCTGGCTTCCCCACTGACTTTGCTTGCCAGAAGTTTGCAAAAGGTGATCACATGACCCCAGGACACCGCAACCATCATAAATATGAGTCAGCTGACAAGTGTCTGAATTTTGACCATGTCATTGTGGGGATGTGCAACGGTCATAAGAATGAAAAACAGTCATAAGTCATTTTTTTCATTGCCACTGTAACTTTAACCATCCCTAAACAAACTGTTATAAATTGAGGATTACCTGGTTGGTTGGTGAGGAA